AAAAAAAGATGATTTGCAAACTATTTTTTAGTATTCAGTAGCATTGTACATGTTTGGGGGTCACAGGAAGCATGCAGATGAAATTAGAGAGGCTCACTTCTCTGCAAGACCTTTTCCCAGCTTACTGTAAGTTTAGTTGTAACAGATGTCTCTGGTGAAAAGGAGTGACCCTGGTTAAACTGCCTTGGAAAAAGAAGAAGGCCTAAAAGACAAAAATTGTAGAAAGGATTGTCAAAGAGCATTAACTATCCTGCATTCATCAAGAAAAGGTGTTAAAAATATTTCTGTGCTGGGAGGGGTTTTACTGAAGACAGCCAGAAATCAGTCTGATTTCCACACAAGATCCGCATGCTCCAGTTATGCCCGTAACCTCCACTTAGTCGAATTCCATCCCAAACAAAAGGGGTGGCCGATTGGGGAACTTTAAAGTATTAAATTATGCTATTTTTTTAAATCAAGTTTGGTTTTGCTGTTCTCTGAAGTAACAACTGTTTTGCTATGTCTGTTAGCAGTAATGTTCTGCGAAGAAAAGGGAAGAAAATAAATAAAACATGGCATCCTGTTTTGTTATTTGCATGTGTGAAAGCCGGTCCATGATGGGATCCCCCCAGTGGTGCTGCCGTTTGCAAAACCCAGCCCTAGAGTGCAGCAAGCTGGTCGTCGTGGGGCAGCGAAATGAGGACTCTGAGGTGAACCTGAAGTGGAGTTTGCGTTAGGCAGCAGCGTAGCTCGGGCTGAGCGGAACTGATCACTGACCCTATTTTCTCTCCTCGAAAGCCTGAAGCGTGTTTCTGGGCGGCTCATTTGTTAGCACAGAGTCCTCGCATGCGTGGGCGCCGCATTGGTGAGGGTGTCGGCAGTGCCGCACTCCCGTGTGCCAGAGGGTGGGGGTGTGCCCTGCACCGGGCTCCTGCACGTTCGCAGGAGAACGTCGTGTTATCGAGGCACTGTCAGACCCGGCTCTGCGAAGAGCTGCCTACTCTTACCAGAATAGCTTCCAAAGATAATGAAAACTTGTCTACAGAAAATAAGGCCTTTGTATGAGTCTGTAATTTTGAGCAACTAAACTTGAAAAGACAGCTGAACTAAGAAGCAGTGTGCTCATCTGCAGCTTTTCTTGCTGTCTTGTCTCCAGGGCCGAAGCCCATGTGCTCATGTCTCAGCCAGCCATCGTCAGACCTGGCTTCTCGGGGTTCAGTGGACGGCACGTGCTTGCAGTGTGCTGTTGGGATCTGGGACCTTTATCCCCAGTGCGTAGTACAGCTAGCTTTCTAGGTACCATTTTCAAAACTCAATCTGGCTGTGTTTAGAGGATAAATATTTCTGTTTCTGTTGGTTCTGTGTACATGTTGACATGTGTTCTCTCAGCCAGTCCTAATAGAAGATCTTGTCTAGAACTAAGGAAACACAAGATTGATTATTTAACAAAAAGTGATGCTCAGGGGTTTAGGTCCTTGGCTTGAGGTCAGAACTTTCTAAACATCAGCATCTAGGTATCTCCCTGAAAGACATACTCATGTATGTATGTATGTATGTTTGTTTGTTTGTTTATTGTCTTTTTTTTTTTTTCCAGATAGGGTCTTGCTATGCAGTTCAGGCTGGCCTTGAACTCATTTTGTAGCCCATGCTGGTCTCAGAGTCCCGACGATCCTCCTGCCTCAGTCTCCCGAGTGCTGGGATTGCAAGCATGGGCTACTACACCCGGCTGTGTGTCCATGTTTATAACAGCTCAGTTCATAATAGTTAAATCTTGGAAGCAGCATATATATCCATCAACAGGTAGAGTACTACTCTGCCGCAAAGGTCATTTATAGATAAATGGATCCACCTTGAGACCATGTGTTAAGTCAAAAATTCAGACATAAACATTAATATCAAACAGCTTCTCTTACGTGAGAAACCCAAAGTATGAATAAAAAGCAAAGTAAAAGATAGGTAATAGAAACTGGGGAGAGAGAGCTTTTCCATAAGGGAAAGGGATGGAGAGATGAGGGGAGGGAGGAGAGGAAAGGGAATGAAAAACGATTAAGATATGTCATGTATTCCCCACAAGGAAAATGACTTTCGTGTACAAGGATGCACTAATAAGGAAAGCAGTTTGAAAGCAAAAGAACTCACTGAGGGTGAGCACCTCTGGAGAGACCTTCTTCAGCTGTGATATTGTTTTCATTATCACTGGAAAAAAGAAAAAAGAAAAACCATAAAATCAACCATCCTGCCTGAATTATCCTACCATTATGTCACTTTGTACCCACACATTTCCTTATTTATTACCCAGCATCATATGGCCCAGGTGGTCAGGAAGGAAGGGAAATAGAAATGTAAGAAGAGGTGCGCGGTGACTGGTCCTTCCCCTGGGCCCGGGAGGGCGTCCTGCTTCAGACCGACCACGCTTGCGTCTGAGCAGAGCCGCAGGTCTGCAAAGCCAAGACCTTTGCTTGCAAGGCTTGCCCTTTGGCATTGTATGTCGTGCTCAGGGAAGACAGCAGGCAGCGTGACATATCGGCGATCCCAGTGAGGCACCCACTGTGACATATTTTGAATGATTGGGCTTCAGTGCATTTTATAAACTTCACCTCATCCATCTGGGACTCAGGAGTAAAGAATTCAAAGCATCAGAGATGTTTTCTGAGGTAGCAGTCAGCTATTATGTTAGTAATTGGGATGATAATTATGTGTTGTCATCAGGTATTTTAGAGCTCAGGAGCTCGAGCTCTTCCTTCAGTACTTGTGTGTTGGGCTTGAAGGAAAAGAACGCCTCACAGCAGAACTGGTGCAGTCTTGCCAAGCCTTGACTTTGAGTTGGGGTGGTGACGAAGGACTTGTGTTTACCGCATGCCTGTCCATTAGCGCAAGGCACTGTGGAGAGCCAGGAGTGCTGTGCTTTCCTTCGTGAAGCATCTCAGGCTGGGCGTTGCCACGAGGTGGGTGGCTGTGTGTCTGGAGGTCTAGGAAGCACCCAGCGTGAAGCCTGCAGAAGCTCTCACTTTGGCTCGTGCCGGCCACATTTCCAGTGTTTTTCTGAAATACAGTACCATGGATACAGAATTAAGGAAGGGCTGTGGGTCATGATGTAAGAATTTTTGAAATGGTTACAAATGAAAGGATAGCAAGAAAGTTCAGAATATTAAAAAGTATTTTCTATATCAGTTAAATAATTTTCAAGGGGGCCTGGCCCTAGCTCAGTTCTTTAAGTGGCTGCTTCCACAAAGCTGTCAGCCTCAGGTTGCTGTAGTTGATCCCCACAACACTCCAGCCGCCAAAAGTGCCCTGAAGGCATTCGAGGAGGAAAAAAAAAAAAAAAAATTTCAAAGCCTGACAGCACGCAGTTCCTGAGATCCCTTGCAGTAAATTGTGTCTCCACTCTCCGCCCCCCATTCCTAGGTTGAAAAAGAAAAAAGCCAAACAAAATGCAGAGACAGCATCGAGTGTTGCCACGAGGACTCATCCTGGGAAAGAAGATGCTAACTGTGTCATTTTGGAGCAAGACAAGTGCAGCGTTGCCGTGGAAGAGGAATGTATTAGTGATGAGAAGAAAAAGAGGAAAAGCAACCAGCTGAAGGAAATCAGGCGCACGGAACTGAAGAGATACTACAGTGTTGGTGCGTATCTGTAATGATATTTAAAAGCCTGTTTTATAAATGGCCATAATAATGATGCTACAGCTGCTGAATGCCCCAGGCGCTTGCTTTACGTATTTAAGTTTATGTAAAGGAATGACAATGAAATAATACCACGTCCCATTCAACTTTGTGCTCCTAGCACCTAGCACAGTGTCTTGCGTGTATTTTATGCTAATAAACACATATCTAATGAACACTACTTTCCCCATGAGAGAAACAGAGATTTTTCAATGTGGATACACATATCCATAAAAGTGCTCTACAAATGGCAATAGTTTTTGGCAGCAGCCGTAGACAGTAGATAATGATGGTGACATGGCTTTGCATCTGTCAGGTAAAAATAAAAAATGAAAAGTTTGGACATTTTAGTTAAGAGGAAGTTTAGAGTAAGTCCACTGGGTTCCAGCATTTCTCAGAACAGCCATAGTGCTGAGCATGGTGGTGCACACTGTAATCCCAGCACCGGGTAGGCTGAGGGAGAGGGATCCCTGTGAGTTTGAGGCCAACCGGGGTTGCAGAGCAAGAACAGAGCCGCCATGGCATCAGAAATGGACCGCGTCGCTCTGGCAGGAGCATCACTAGTTAGTTGCTCTAGTGGGATCGTCCGTCTTAGACTTATGCTCTGTCCCGTGCAGGCCTGGAGTCTGTGCCAAAGAGAATGCAAAGAGGGCAGAGCCCAAGCTTGTGACATGCAGGCTGTGACATGCAGACTGTGACGTGCGGTGGGTGGCCAGGGGAGAAAGCTGCGCCAAGTCCCTAAGAGCAGCATGCGCACACAGCGCAGGACCTGTGCTCTTGCAGACAAGGAAGGGGCCTGAGGCCCGGTCCAGGTCAGGCCCACGCTGTGGGGAGCCAGATCTGGGGTCCATGTCGGAGGTGACTTCGTAACAGTGCACGTCAGAGGCAAGACACGCTGCCGCTGAGGTGGGCGCAGATGCTTCTGGGCTGTGCTCGCCCTGATGGATCTGAAAAGCCAGCAGGCAGCGCATGTGGCGTGTAGTGCAGCATGGGCAGAGGTGATTAATGGTGTGTCACAGTGCTAAGTGGGGCCTCCAGCCTCACATGTCACAGTGCGATAAAAGTCTAACTGTCGCTGTATCGAAGGAGACTTCTGTGTGGCCATAAACTTCCTCTTAAAATTAAAAATGTTCTTTACGAAAGGAGAAAGAGGGAAAGGATCCGGGAAAGTGACCTTTTTCTATCCTGTTTTGCACGCAGCTTCTCGCAGCTTCAGGATAGCTTTTTAGTGTGTACTGAGTTGTATACATACTGATAAGCCTGCAGCGAGCTGCCATCTTCACCTCATCAGCTTTTCCTGACCTCCCAAACTCAGCCCAATCACCAGGTCTTCCCTGAAGCCCTCCCCGCTCTGTCCATGCCCCAGCCCCCGGTCCCTGTCCCTGTCCCTGTCCCTGTCCTTGTCCTTGTCCTGTCCAGGGTAGTATTTCATTTGCATTGTTTTCATCATTTATCTGATTTCCTGTTGAAGGCTGGAGTGATTTGGGTATCTGTAACATGACAGGTACCTAATAATGGGCATTGAGTTGAAGGATTAAAATATAAATAAAGGGGCCGGGGAGATGGCTCAGTAGAATAAGCGCTTCCCTGGCAAGTGCAAGGGCTTGAGTTCAATCCCCGGTTCCACCAAAAATAAATAAATAAAATAAAAATATAGAGGAATCAACACTCTTTATTTGTCCCTTGTGAAAATGCCGGAAGGATATTGGTGACAGTGTAGTCATTGGGTTAGAATGACTGTAGAAAGAGTGTGTGTGTGTGTGTGTGTGTGTGTGTGTGTGTTTTAGATAAGCCTGAGAAAAGAGATGCCACAGTTATCTTTGGCTTCTGTAGAGATCATAATGCGAACAGTTGTTTTGGAGGCTTGGG